CGGGTTATCGGGTAAACAGAGCACACGTTCTCTTCAAGTCGGTGGGATCAAGATGGGCTCCACGTGGCGCGAACCAATTCGTTTGCACACACAGAGCTACGTCCGCACTCCGCACCCAATAATTTCTCGTAAAGAAGAGATGCTTCTTTATATATAAGAAGAGAAGAGATGCTTCATTTCATTGGGAAGGTGAAGAAATTAAAGGGTTGCATGTCGACCACTATGTCCAGAATTTATTTATAATCTTTTCAAAAAAAATACTAATGATCTCTTTAATTTTTTTCATCCATTCATAATACATATATATTTTCATTTAATGCTATGTAGATTTCAATCATTATATTTGGAACAATTTAACTTCAAATTAATACTCTTCTCATATACAAATACTCGAACCTTAATCTAAAAAAAGAAGTGCTATGATCGAGTGCCAAAACTTTTATCTAATAAATATTTGGAATTGAGTACCAACACTTAATCTTTTATTTAACTAATACTTTCCTTAATTTTTTATTTAAAAACTTTTATCTATATAAATAGTAGAAAAGTTTATTTTTTTTTTAATTTGGAATTAAGTACCAAAACTAATGATAACTCCTGTATTTCTAATGAAATAAAGTTCCAAAAAATAAATATAATAGTCAATTTATAATTTATATATAATTAATGTTTTAACACTCAATTAAATAAGTAATAATTGCAAATTATAATCCTCTGTGCTTAGTCGAAAAGAAAATAATTGAAGAAAGGTTGGGTGGTTAAAGTCTTGTATGTTTTTTACGTTGCTAAATGCACGCTAAATAAATTGGTCCAGTTTTGGTAAAGAAGTGTCGGCAGCTGCTCGTTGATTTTCTTGCCCATCTCCATTCCTGCTTCTATCTTCCTTTAAATTTACGAGCTTCCCCTAACATCCTGCAAGCTAATTAAGCTATTCTCCTTCTTCAGCAAGCTCAACATGGCGATGATCTTAGAAGCTTCTATGAAAAAATTATCTGGATCGCTCGGTGATTCTGCCCTTGGAGAGGTGATCATGCTGCTAGGTGTGAAGGACGAGCTCCAAAAGCTACGTGAACTGATGGAGAACATCCGATGCCTACTGAAAGATGCAGAAAAGAAAAGGTTTGATAAGTCATCAACCACCGAGCTCTGGCTTTCTAAGCTTAAAGATGTGATGTACGATGCTGATGATATCATTGACCGTTGTAGAATTGAGGGCACTCTGCTGCTCTCTGATCAAAATTTTGAATCTAGAACTTCGTCGGTATGTTGCGACTTCTTATCTGCCTTCTCCTCCTGTTTCACTAGCGTTCTTTTGCGCCATGAGATTGGAAACAAAATGAAGGATATTAATGAAAGACTCGAGCATATATATGAAGATAGAAATCATTATAAACTAGAGAAATCCACTATATCCGAAACCCCACAATTTACTCGACCTGATCATAATACTTCTCCCTTGGTTGATTCTTATGTTGTGGGAAGAGAGGTCGAAGATGTAGCAAATAGTTTGGTTGATCGTTTGGTTGGGGAGCAGGTTGATGAAAAATGCTCTGTTTTTGCTCTTACCGGCATGGGCGGGATAGGGAAGACAACTATGGCTAAAAAAATTTTTAACCATCCAAAAATTCAAACCTATTTCAATGAAAAGGTGTGGGTTTGTGTTTCGGAGACTTATGTAGAAACTGAGTTATTAAAGCAAGTAATAAGAGGGGTAAATGGGCGCCGGCACTATGAAAATGCTAATTCTAAAGCAGAGTTAGAACCCATTCTCAGAAATTCTATTGCTTCAGCTCATAGCCTTTTTCTTGTTTTAGACGATGTGTGGAGGGGGAATGTGTGGGATGAATTGCTTAGAGTCCCGTTGCAGCAATCTAACGTGAATGTCAAAATCTTAGTCACAACTAGATATGAAAATGTTGCGAAGGAGATGAAGGCAGTGATTCATCATGTGAATTGTCTTTCTGAAGAGAGCAGTTGGGATATGCTTCGTAGGCAGCTTTTCTCAAAGCAAGAAGAAGAGCTAGCGAATGACTTGAAGGATCTAGGATTAAAGATTGTAAGCAAATGTGAAGGACTTCCTCTTGCAATCAAAGTAATTGCTGGAGTTCTTGTCACAAAAGAGTGCACTAGGAAGGAGTGGCAAAATTTTCTTAGAAATTATGCGTGGTCTAGTAGCGAGCTTTCTGATGAGCAGATAAGAGGAGCCCTGCGCCTTAGTTTTGAAGATTTACCTTCACATCTCAAGCAATGTTTTTTATATTTCTCTTTATATCCTGAGGATGCAAAGTTAGATATGCAGGAGTTTGCCCTGCTTTGGGTGGCCGAAGGATTCATAACAGAGCAACAAGATACATTAATGGAAGATTTAGCAAAACAATTGTTCAATGAGTTACTCAATCGAAATCTTTTGCTTCTAGGTGATGGTACTGGTCTTGTGTGCCAAATGCATGATCTTATCAGATATCTAGCCATTTTTTATTCAAAAGAAGAAACTTCCTTTGGAAATTTGAATGTGAGGAACTCCAGCAAATCAGCCAAGCTTCGTCGCCTATCAGTTGCAAATCAAGAAGCAGCAGTCGAAACACTCGATTCTATTGCAGATCAGGGAGCCCTGAGAACCTTGCTTGCTTCACGTTCTAATCTATTATTGGATGATGAAAGATTGAGGCGGCTCTCACATCTTCGTGTCTTGGACATTTCCGATACAAAAATTCAAGTACTTTCTGACTCCATAGGAAACCTAATGCATTTGAGGTATCTTAATTTGAAATATACACAAATAAGGGCAATACCAAAATCCATAGGGCAATTAACAAACTTACAATTCTTGGACTTAAGTTTTTGCATATATTTGACAGAAATTCCTAGTGAAGTTACTCTGTTACACAATCTTAGGCGCCTTGATATTAATGAAACACCTCTTAGTTTCATTCCAAAAGGAATAGATAAACTGCAACAACTTAATTATCTAAGTGGTTTTGTGGTGTCCAACAATGACTCTAGCAGCAGCAAATTGGAAGAGTTGAATTCTCTGAAACATATAAGAACGCTCAACATTGGCGAGTTGAAGAGACCTCAAAGTGAAACAATAGTTCTTAAGGAACTACCTTACCTTTGTACTTTGAAGTTGAAGTTCTCTGCGGACAACTTAAGTCCCAATGAGGAACAAGAGCTGGAAGTTGAGAAGCTGTTCAACAAGATAATACCTTCACAAAGTCTGGAAGATTTCACAATATCAGGCTACTTCGGTCTCCGTTTCCCAAGTTGGATGTTCACATCTTTCGAAATTTTCCTTCCAAATTTGACTAAATTGGTGTTCGTGGGCATAACATCATGCACTTTGCTCCCGGCATTAGGTCAATTGCCTAAACTTAGAGAGCTTGTTATTAAGGGTGCGTCTAAAGTGGAGAAAATTGGACCAGAATTTTTTGTTAGTTACGACAAAGCAACCAAGATTGCTTTCCCCAATCTTGAACAACTTGTAATCGTGGATTTTCCTAACTTGAAAGAATGGTCTTTTGGTGCTCAAGTTGAGCAAAATGCAAGGCTTCCATGTTTACAAAAACTAACAATCGGGCAGTGCGAGTTACTGAAACAGCTACCAGAAGATCTAAAGTACTCTCCTATAAAGTTTCTTAAAATATTTGAAACTCGTAGCCTGAAATCAGTTGGCAATCTCCCAGCTCAAATTGAGGAACTAGAATTACGTCAATGTGGAAATTTAGAAAAGATCTTTTGTCCCCCTACGTTAAAGGCACTTTTTGTTTTAGAGTGCAACGCTTTGGCTTACGTGGAGAAGCTTGATTCATTGAAAAAGTTAGGTTTCACTAATATATACAGTGACGGCGGTCTTCCAGAGTGGCTATTGAAGCTTCTGCGACAACGGAGGTTGCAAAATGATTCTAATGATAGCTTCGAGCTTTGGTTGACATGCACTAAGGAGGTTTTTCCAGAATGCTTAAAAGGAGGTTCTTATTGGGACCTAATTCAACACATTCCACAAGTATCATGTTGGGGCTTTGATTATGCTTATTATCTTCGATATAGTAAACAACCCTATGTTTACGAAACAAATTTCTATGATAATTTTTTTTGATCCATTAACATGTTGAAGGTTTGTTAAGGCTTATTAAGTTATTGTAGTGTGCATTGTTTGTATTTTAGTGAGTGTATGCTTCTTTCTATAATTGTCAAGGCTTATATATATATTCTGTCGTAGTACTTACTGTTTGTATGCTTTGCTTAATATGTGTGGGGACATCCTTCTTCATAATTGGATTGGTTCTTTAATGTGATTATTATGTAAGAAGAAGTTATTTATTTGTAAGTTTTTTTAAGGAATAATAAAGTGTGCTTTCGTTATGCATTATTAATTATGTGTTTCTTTTTCTACTCTTCGATCTTCATGTTAGTGTAGAATTAAAAGGAATAACTTAAGTTTTTTTTTTGTAAGTTTTATTAATTTTTTAATTGAAATTGAAGGGAATTTATGTAATCTTTAAATTTTATTGTTTCATTTTTTAATTTATTTTTTAAATAATGTTTTCATTAAAGGGTACAATTTTGAATGAATTTAAAAATTATATATATAAGAAAATGGTCGGTAGAACTTAATGGCTTTTAATCGAATACTTATGAATTTTATAATTTTCATAATTTTTAAATATATATTAAATAAAAAGTTAA